TGTACAAATTATTGCATATTACTCTTTTGAAGCAGTGCTGTCATTAAGTTTACAAGTAGGTGGCCGAAAAATTATTGAACATTGAAGGCACAAGACTCCTAGAGGGATCTGGGTTGGAAATGCCATTCCCTGCATTTGGGAAGGTATTTTACACATTCCCTGCATTTTGGAAGGTATTTTACAGAGTTCTTAAGATTACAAACCATCCTATCAAAGCCTGACCTGTTTGAAATAATTTAATCTTTTGTTTTAATTTTGATGTTCTGACTAGAGGAAGTAAAAGGTTTGTTTATTGCTTCACAGTTTTGTTTATATGAACTTTGTTCAGACAGAAGTAGGCAAGCTACAGGCCCTTAATGACAGCTCTGGGTACAAAAACCCCACAAAAGTTCTCACTAGATTACTTCTGTTTTATGTTATGGCAAGGCCTTTTCTAATCCACGATACCATTTACTCCTCTGACCAGTGTGACGACCAGCAATGTTACCTGGCTACAATTGTCGATGTAGAGAGGTATGCTTTTCTGGGGTAAATTAAAGGTAGGAATAGCACCAGCTACAAGCCTTTTGCAGGTGGGAACTAAAGCAGAACATAAAATATCTGATTATATATACAGTAAGTTGACTTAATTTATACAAGTATTGTTAAGATAGTAATTATAATAAAATTCACAGCAAACAAGATTTATAATAACTGTAAATGGGGCTTTCATATACTATGACATGGCCAAACAAAAATCCTGTTACTTTATTCATAGTTAATAGAGTATGCCAGTTTCTTGCTATTAAAATAGCCTTTGAATACTGTATAATAGTTAATACTTTGTTTACTGTATACGAAAATGTTTCTACTGTCCTCAGTGACAGTGTCCTGAATAATATGTATACCTTCATTTTATGAACACAAGGGTTAACTGTTATATAAATATGACCTAATGACCGAAACGCACTTTTATGCAAATCATTAATAATTAATATATTTTTCCTGCTCTATGACCATATGGTTAATACAAATTTGATAATTTGATACATGAAATATATACAGTACTTCTGCTAAGTTGTAACTTTCAAGCGTTCATACCAAAATATCAATACCTCTACCAGAGAAAGAAAATAACTTACATGTTTCGGCTGGGTCATTTCAAAGTGTCTTTCACAAACGTGAAGTGTTTGTTGAGCGATTTGATTTCTTAAACTTGCATCTATCTCTCAATCCAGCGTCCTTTGTGACAAGCCTCGCCAACGCTTCGCGAATTTTCGTCGATAAATCGTCGTCTTTTGTTGGATTTCAAAAAATACTGAGACCAAAGTGTTTTCTACTAGTCCCGCAACCATGTATGGAGCAATTTGCAACTGATATTTGGATATCCTTTCTGTAAAAGACGTTTTTCAAGCACTACAGCCTCCTCTGTAATACAATCTCCTATTACAAATATATTTTGATGCACCCGTATTGTCACGTGACAGAGAACAATAACATAATTTCGCCACGCCCCCAGCTTCCAAACCCTCTCCTCTATTAACTATGTTTAAAGCAAGAGTGAAGAGGTGTATTTATCCCGTTGGTTATTGTCGCGTCTATGAAGACTATTGTAAAGACTGTGAAAGACTATAGTCCTGACTATGAAAGACCATAGTCGTGACTATGAAAGACTATAGTCCTGACTATGAAAGACTATAGTCCTGACTATGAAAGACTATAGTCCTGACTATGAAAGACTATAGTCCTGACTATGAAAGACTATAGTCCTAACTATGAAAGACTATAGTAAAGACTATGAAAGACTATAGTCCTGACTATGAAAGACTATAGTCCTGACTATGAAAGACTATAGTCCTAACTATGAAAGACTATAGTCCTGACTATGAAAGACTATAGTCATGACTATGAAAGACTATAGTAAAGACTATGAAAGACTATAGTAAAGACTATGAAAGACTATAGTCCTGACTATGAAAGACTATAGTCCTGACTATGAAAGACTATAGTCCTGACTATGAAAGACTATAGTCTTAACTATGAAAGACTATAGTCCTGACTATGAAAGACTATAGTCCTGACTACGAAGACTATAATAAAGACTATGAAAGACTATAATAAAGACTATGAAAGACTATAGTCCTGACTATGAAAGACTATAGTCCTGACTATGAAAGACTATAGTCTTAACTATGAAAGACTATAGTCCTGACTATGAAAGACTATAGTCCTGACTATGAAAGACTATAGTCATGACTACGAAGACTATAGTAAAGACTATGAAAGACTATAGTCCTGACTATGAAAGACTATAGTAAAGACTATGAAAGACTATAGTAAAGACTATGAAAGACTATAGTCCTGACTATGAAAGACTATAGTCCCGACTATGAAAGACTATAATAAAGACTATGAAAGACTATAATAAAGACTATGAAAGACTATAGTAAAGACTATGAAGACTATTGTCTAGACCTAATCTATAGAGGGCGAGCCGATCCTTATATATGTGTTATTTCCAACTAAATCTTCATTCCGTTGCTGACCGCCGAACAGAGATGACTTGCAGTTATATGAAACACAGACCATTTGTAGAACTCTTATGTACTTCTCATCCAACTCAACAGCAAGCTCTTCTTAATTCTACATCAGCTGAGCAAATTCGATGCTTGTGTCATTGTATAGAAAATTTCACATACTCTAAAGAAACAAAGGACAAACTCAGACCTTTCGAACAAGATCTAGCTGATTTAGCAGACAGAGATAGAAATTTTAAGACGAAAAAGGAAATTCTTGTTCAGCGGGGAAGCGGCTTTCTGGGATTGGTACTTGGACCACTTTTAGAAGGTCTTGCAGAATTAATATAAAATAAAAAGTATGAAGGACATCTCCTCATTCCAATCATGGATAGCGACAAACGATCATCTCCTGAACAGTGGAGACTTGAAGACATTCTCAAATACCTTGACGTTGATGATGAACGCGAAGCCGAGGAAATCCTTCATTCTATTTTAACCTCTACGGGGATTTTAACTTGGAATGGAAAAGGAGAAATCGTTTACAGAGGACATAATATACGAGGCACTGACATTGTAGACCTTCTGAAATATTGCGTGACGCCTTATCATCCAGATATTCCCGAACCAACTGGATTGAGCATTTTTATAAAAGGTCTTGCAGAATTGGAAATTGATAAAAGTCTGATCGTAAATGGACATGTCCTTTCTGTGTTAGCCCACAAGTGGTCCCATCAGGATACACAATCTGATGCTGACGTAACTTGTAACAGTTGTAACAAAGATATATACATCTCCCATTTGAGTACGTGCCCCGTATGCACATGGACAGATTTTTATCCGAATTGTAAAAGCTGTCGCTGTATGATCTGTGATTTTCAAGTGTCCAAAGGAGATTTTACGCATGTAATCGCCAGCTGTCCACATTGTCGTCGAGGCGAAATTATAGATATCAGAACGGATAAAAGGCAATCTTCTAACCATAAAATAAGCGACCAAAGTGATATTTGATTAGTTGACTGCGTGAAGTTGAACTGAACACATCAACATGCCGAGAGGTACACTTATTGTAGACGAAAAACTACTGAGAGACCATTTCTTGAGACAGCAGCGTGGCGGAAACATCGCTGGGTTTAATGGTGCACGTTTTCAAAGAGGATACGGGATCGGAGGTATTTTCAAGAGCCTTGCGAGATATGCTATTCCTCTATTCAAACAAGGTGCTAAAGTTGTTGGCAAAAGAGCATTACAAGCAGCCACAGAAGTGGGTCAAGATGTCCTATTCCTCTATTCAAACAAGGTGCTAAAGTTGTTGGCAAAAGAGCCACAGAAGTGGGTCAAGATGTACTCCAAGGAAAAAATGTAAGAGAATCTGCAAAGACTCACGGAGGTGACGTTGTTAAAGACTTTGCCGAACAAGGAGCAAAAGCCCTACTACAACAAGCAGGGCGCGGAAGCAAGAGAAGGCAGGGCCAACGCAGTAATTTATCAACTACAAAGAGGTTAAAACTGTGCTCTCATATAACAGTCCCAAGACATACCAAATGGATTACGGAAGATGAAAACAGCCACGATGATGAAAGCAGCTATGATGAAGAATCTGATAGCGAAACCCCTGAAACAAGTGACGATATATATTAGAAGCATAATTTTGTAAAACGTTTTGAAGAAATAAATTTAAAAACTGAAATATTGTGTAATTTTTGCCGGCAAAGCCCGCTCATTCCGCCCGCGCGATCCGCCCGCCTGATTAGTGTAAAATATGTTGTACGTTAATATATGCATGCACCCGCAAAGCCACGCGCCTGATTTTAAGGTATACACCTGCGTTAAAAATAATCCCTATCTATCCATCGGGATACATTTAGTTATGCAAATTCGTATTGCCTTAATCCCCTTAATTACCTACACACCTCCTAATGACTTAGCAACGCATAAACAACGCAAATTTCCAAAGTTTAAGATATGTTTATTAATACAAATAACAGACGATAGCGTCAAAAAATATTACAACTAAGACTGTTTGTTAAACTGTTCTACAAGTTTTTTCTCCAAGAATCCTTGATAAGCTTTCTTATGATCTGCCTCAAAACTTCTAAATCGTTCACCCGTCGCCTTCACATAATACATGTAACTCGGTGGGTACGAAAAAAAACGCTTCAGCTGTTGACTCGAGCGGGTCTTCTAATCTCCAATGAAACAAATAGTTCAGTATACATTGTAGTTCGTGGTTCTCAGTGTTCTGATGTAGTTCCATCAATGAATCGACAAACGTAGAATCTGGGTATTTTTCCAGTTGCTGTAAATGTTCGAGTACATCTCTGTCAACCGCCAGTTTTAGTACCCTCATTGCCTCAGCGAATTCGTTCCAAACCATACGCTTACCATTCACGCGTTCGATCGCTTGTAAACCATACATTTGCCATCGTTCGTTTTCGTTCATCATGAGGCAGTCATGTTGTCTTTGACTAGGATGACCGACTTGACAACCATTACAGGATTCCACACAAAGTCTTTGAACTTCATGTGCGACTGCATTCGCATATATTCCTTCCAATAAATTGTAAGATGCGGTTTTTCCGTGCAGACACTCCATCGTACGGCTTTCACAACGAAATGGCAATATGGCTATAGCAAGCGTTGTCTTTTGTACTGAAAATTCCGAGCTCTGCTTAATGACTGTTCCGGACATTTGGTCGCGTTGCCTGTCACATTTGGCCCAGGTTTTCCCGCGCTAATTGGTCGCGCTACCTGTCACATTTGGTTCAGGCCGGCCCAGAAAAGTGATATTTGGCCCAGGCTTGTCCGCGTTAATTGGTTGCGCTACCTGACCCAAGGTTAGGGTTAGGGCCAGCAAAGTTACGTCACATATTTTGCATACTAATTACTTTCGGAGCAGCGTGACGTCATTGGCGGCATCCCTTTGGTCTCCATATGGGGGGGGGGGGTTTACTACTCGTATTTTAAAAACATTACATATGTAGAAATGATGACTGAAAAGCTCATAATAAACGTTTGTTATAAAACCGCGCTCGAGTGTGAAGAGACGGCATTGAATAACAACACGAGAGAGCACTGTGAGTAACGATTTACTTGGTTTCTTGACTTGACTGTTGGTAAAAATGTAAGAATGTTCTTGTAAATTCAAAGCAAAGAAAATAAACAAAAATTAGCAAGTATTTTGAACTTAATAATTCGCAAAATTTATGTTTTTAACTGTTAAACAAAATATCTCCACTGGAATCATGTAATTTGATACTTTCCCCACACCCCCGCGGGCGCTAAATTTTGGACGAGGCACGTGACCAGCCCATACCAGGGTATTTCCTAAATACCCTGGGAACGAGGTTGTGACGATCTTTGATCGGTTGAAATTTGTAGGTTAAGGTCGCGACGATCAAAAATTGCAATAATTGTCAAAATCAACAGTAATTGGAAACGTTATTATGTTATTTGAAAACTTTGAGAATTGGAATTTAACGAAAACCTTAACACAATCTCCAACGTTTAAGTAACACAAATAAAGTTCGAAGAACGAATTAAAAAATTGATATTGTCGGATAAATACAAACTTTTAGAAAGATACAGTATAACAGAAATTCAAATGCACAGTGAGGCACCGATTTCAAAATATTTTAGTATTGGAAATAACGAGATTAAAACCGATACATAATCGTGAACTGCGTGTAGAATTAAATGGTCCTTCGATTAAATTAAAACTGACAGACAACAAATAAAACAGTACTATGGCACGTTTGTTTACAGATAACAAACTACTTAACTACAGGAAATGAAGTCAAATTAGTGACTTCCCATCACGTGATCTTCGCGCATGCTCGATAGAAGGTCGTTCGTTTGCTCGCAGTGGTTTCCCCTCAGCTCAGAAACCACTGCCAACAGGGTATGATCAGGGACGCCGGAACGATGTGAAGGCAAGGGGGGGGGGGCAGATTTTCGTGAAAGGGCACTTTTGAATTGATATATATACTAAGAGATGTTTGCAAAACATCGGGCAGTTGAACTTCGCCTAATCATGTTTTCTATTTATTGGATGATAGGGGTGTGAGGGGGTTCTCCGCCAGGCGATTGTGCTATTCTTGAAGCTCGATGACTGCATTTCTTGCGTTTTCTGAAGCAAATTCGTAAAAGAATTGCACTAACATTTCTGACAATTCGCTATTTCGCCAAGGCAATCCTTTAAATTGAAAGGGCACCTTGGCCCCTCCTGGTAAAGGGCAAGGGGGCGGCTGCCCCTCCTGCACCCCCAGTTCCGGCGTCCATGGGTATGATTTTCTTAACATACACAACGAATTTTTTGAAAGTTACTTCGCCAATGAACTCGAATTAAAACATTCGCAGTGCGTGTTTTATCAGACCATCTTTATTTCTGATAAAACACTGCTGCTCATGTTTTAAATAGTACATAAAATCTCTGCAAATCTCCCTAGTTGCCGAGCAAACGGCATGCATGATGCGAAATATAAATCTCGACTATGATTGGATAATGGGTGACGGTGCTAATTACAAAACGTCAATCATCCTTAATGGGCGAAAACTAATTTGTCATAGCCATTTGGGCAGGCGTTTCCTCAAACGACGTCCTTTCTTCTCCCATGGAGAGTGGGCATTTTTTATGTTTTCTGAAGGAAAAATAATTGCAATCTGAACAACATTTTTCACGAAAGCAAAGGGCACTTTACCACTGGAGGAAGGGTACTTTTTTGTTTTTCGAAAACTTGGGAGGGGCCAAACCCCCCCCCCGGTTCTTGGCCCCCCGGTTCTTACGCCCTTGATTGTTCTGAAACGGAAACTAGATACTCAGTAAGACAGAGATGTAAAATCAAAGAGAAAAAATTAAGCGGGAAGAAAAACGATGTACGTTCAGTTAAAGATAAGAAAAGCGACTGATGCTTAAAGTAGAGCTGAGGAATGGCAGATAAACACACACAGAAATTAGAAAGATGGCATAAAGACCACATCAATAGACACTTGTACCGAATACATCCTGAAGCCAAGGTTTCACACAAGACGTTAGAGCATTTTATAAACAATGTATTTTTTTCACACAGATGCCTTGGAGTTTGCAAAAAATATGTTTGCCAAGTTAAAATCTACTCTTGAGAAGGAAAGTAAAAAAAAAGAATGGAGCACAAACGACGGGCGTGAGACTACAGAGAAATTTGTTCTTGGAGCATTTCCAACAACAGACAAAGTTTGCTTCTGTTCAAGAACCTTCCCCATCAGGTTGTAGTGATGTGAGTGAGAGTGCAAGTACCGTATTTACTCGATTGAGCGCCGCCCCCGATTGAGCGCCGCCCCCGAATGAGCGCCGCATTTGAGATATTTTTTTTTAAAAGAGCGCCGCCCCCGAATGAGCGCCGCACTAAATAGTGTGAAAATTTTCCGCGTCAAAATTGGGACATTTAGTGACAAAAACCTTTTAAAACTTGTCTATTTTATAGTTAAAAGTTCTTGTCATAATTCACAAATAAAATATTTTTTAAAGAGCGCCGCCCCCGATTGAGCGCCGCCCCCGAATGAGCGCCGCATCTGAAGCTCTAAAAATTTAAAGAGCGCCGCGGCGCTTAAACGAGTAAATACGGTATGGCCATTCCAGATGGATCAGATTTGTATTCCAAACGTTTCACAGAACCTGATCATGAACCCTCCGTCATCCAACAACAGACAAAATTTGGTTCTGTTCAAGGGCCTTCACCATCAGGTACGTTGTATAGTGATGCGAGTGAGAGTGCAAGTATGGCCATTTCAGATGTATCAGATTTGTATTCCAAACGTTTCACAGATCTTGATCATGAACCCTGGTTTTCGTCCGACATTGAATCAATCGAACTGAGATGTTTATACATTGTATTGATTTAATTTTTTTAAATTTTTATAGTAAAACATAAACTTTTCAAATTTGTCATAGACGTAAACATTTTAAGTAACTGGTACATTATTAAAGTCAGGTTTTTTCGTGACTCCCCTAAGTACAGCCTAGTAATTAGTCAATTTTTCATTTTTTCGTACTCCTCTGGAAGTACTGATTTTTTCACATACCCTCTTACCCTGAATATCCTCCACCTCCCTTAGTAAATACTTTATGACCGCTCCCTAAAACGTTATTTCATATTGTAGACTGTTTCAAACATTCTTACAATTTTGAGGAACATTTCAAAGGAAAATTCAGTGTCGGAGGTATTTTAACTACGGGATGGATCACTATATCACAAACGACTTCTCGCAACGTAAATCTAAAATCTGGTCTAGCTTTGACTGAATTATACAGTTAAAATAATTATTACTCTGGCTACCGTAGCCGTAGGTAAGCGGCTGTCGTTTTCAACGTCGCAAATGCGACCTACGTTCATGGAGTTAACCGCTTTTCTCCTCTAATGGTTCACAGGATCACGTCAAAATGGGAGTTTAAAAAATATGAAAACAGAAATATTTTGGTTTTTCAATCCAATAGTGCGACTATTTTCCTCTGCATTAGTGCCAGAGCATACTTAAGAGTACTCGTAGGGTTTAGATGAAATCCTAGCTGACAAGCTACAGACGTTTTAAAATCCTTCGAAAGTTGGCGATTTCATGCCCGCCATGCGCCATGGCGTCCAGAACTTGGCGATTTTTTGCAATATACGTGGTAGTCTTCTTGGATCATTGGTGAATATCGCAGCCTCGCCAGGGGCGAAACTAGCCCTTTTAATTCGGAGGGTGTCTGCTAGAATTGCCCTGCAAAAGGGGGAGGGGGGGGGAGGTTGAAAAAAAATTTTCCGGGCATTCAAAAAAAGGGTGGAAAAAAATTTCCGGACATAAACCAGTTAAATAAAAATTTTTTCCGTACAAATTCCTGTTAAAACATGCGTGAAACCCTTATTTTTTTTACCAATATCTGTAAAATTTAGGTCTATATATAAATTCTAGTTCAATTCCCTCTGGAAGCCCTGTAAGATAGATAGATAGATAGATGGCTTTATTAGTAATACCTTTGCAGCCAAAAAGCTGAATTGCGTAGTACTTTACAATTAAAAATTTTCTAGTTAAAACTACTGTCTTTAATTATTGAATTGTTAAAATAGTTTATATGCTATTACTATAGATAAAAGTATTTTTGAGTCTATTAGTCTTACATATTGGCATATTGAATCTCCGCTTATTTCAGAGGTTGACTTCACATGTATTATGCTCGGGTAGTAAACTATGTAACTTATGGTTTTCGTTACTAGTTATTGTATTAAAGAGTTTGACTGTCAAGATATTCCTACTGACGGTCGTAAAGTGTAGCCGGTAGCTTGCCTGCTGCCAAGGCGTCAGCGTATATAACTTGAGGGAAAATTATACTCATTGCTCTCTTTTGCAACCGTTCTAAGTCATTTGATAAAAACTTCGGCAGTCCATTATGGAACACTGGACATGCATATTCTGTAATAGGACGTATGCATGTGACATAGAAAGTTAAAAGCTCTTTTGTTGGTACGTTTGCTCTCCTCAGTTGCTTTAAGAAATAAAGTCTGGTAAATACTTTACGTACATGTATGATTTCAGAGACGTGACAGTTCCATTTTAGATCATTAGTTATATTCAATCCAAAAAATTTGACATTAGCAACTACATCAATAGCTTTGTTATTGATTAGAAAGGGGGCAAAATCCGGAGCTTTCTTGGCGAACGATATCCTCATCTCTTTGCATTTCGTTTCGTTTAACTGAAGCTTATTCTGGTGAGATTTCATAGCTAGGTTCAAACTAGGTTCAAACAGGTTCAGCTATAGTTGTGTCGTCCACATACTTCCACAGTTCGGTGTCCGTCACTACTATATCATCTATCATCAGCACAAAGAGCCACGGTCCTAGTTTGGTTCCTTTTGATACTCCAGCAGGAATATCCTTCCATTCCGATCTACAATCACGTACTAGTTTGACTCTCTGCTTGCGACACTTTAAAAAATCCGTGACCCAGCATACAATTCCATATGGGAAATTTAAAGATTTTAACTTGCTGATATGGTTACTTAATTATCTTTGATTGCCCTGCCAATCTAGATGATTCGCCCTGCCAATCCAGATGATTCGTACTTTGGGGGGTCAAACCCCCATACGAACTATTATATAGTATTATACAGCAACCTTGCTAATAATTCCGTTGCGCAGTTAGCGGGTCATGGAATTGTAAAGTCTGGTTAATATGTATAATGTGCCCACAAAGTCACAACACCGAATACCGGCACATTCGCCTGACTTAAATCCAACAGAGAATATAATCCACAACTAAAGGAACAACCAGAAAGAGAAACCATGCATGCGGTATTGCGGTTTCCAGTGCCTACGGGAACATTTCAGGCATGCATTTCGTGGCATGCAGGATACCAAAATTACTCATTCAAATAATAGTATACCAAACCGTTTTCGTACATATTTTAAAGTGGGGAAGTTCGAATGATCGTACTAAATACACGTAGTACGTTTTCTTCCATAATGAAATAGTATGTTTGTAAATACATGTTGTCCACAAGATCACACTTAATGTTATGACCTCGAAAATCATTTCGTCTCATATATCAAATGATTGACTGGGGCGACTCCTGCTGCTGTCAAGTTAATATTAATACAGTACACAGATATTAATGTTATGGTTCACAAGTGTACCATGGTCTGCTTTCACTCAGCTGTCTAAAGGGTCATGACGTAATAACTTGTAACTTTTGAGTAATCTATTAAACTGCGCGCATGGATCACCTTGCTACAGTACGCTTTTATTCAATATATAGACAAAATGACAATGTGATTAATAAAGCACAAAAACCGTACGTTACCTATGTGTTTCTATATTTTACAGCACACCGTCTTTCTATAACACCATCTCAAAAATAGCTACGCTTCAGGTTTTCTCGTAATAAAATTTCCCTCTGAATCAATTTAACCACAGACTAGACCTTTTAAGCACCTCCTCCACATGACTTGCCTTAGTTCCTATTATGCCGCCTGGGCCGTATAGCCAGAGTGTACGCCTGCGCAGGCGTCTTGTTAGTTAATTTAAAATTAAAGTAAGAGATCTTTATATATTTACGTCACTCGAGCAGTCGAGCTCGTTACAAGTATCCAACGTCTCTTTCACAAGGTTCCATATCTCCAAGGCTGGCGGAGGTGTATTGACGTCTACCTAGTCTATAGTTCAATAATTATTAATCTTACCCAGTTTGAAGTGCAAGTTTTATAAATCCTTTCCGCTTTTTCAATGTTAACATAAAATTTCCAGGATGTGCGTCCAAAGCTTCAGCTGCTCCACCGACGGCAATCACAACTGAGTTCCCTGCACCTTTTTTTGTCAGTATGTATTCACAACTTTCACGTGCGACGTCACACATTCCGGATAACATAATGTAATCTCGAAATAATGGCGGTCTGAACAGAGCTATATATGGTTAATAAGAGATAAAATAGAGAATAATACATGGGTGCGCGGAAATACCAGATTTATTTCGAGTGTTGAACATGATATCTCACGAGTGAGCGCAGCGAACGAGTGAGATATCATGTTCAACACGAGAAATAAATCTGGTATTTCCAAGATTAAAATATAATAATATAATAATAAAATATAATAATATAATGTTAAAATATAAATGTTATAATTGTTTTTCTCCTGGTTTTACTGCATAGCTTCACCAGAAAAATGAATCCGACAAAATTCCCAAAATGTCCAACTATAAAATGTCCTGACTTTCGAAAGTCCAAGTCTCGTACACTTTCCAGAAGTGATTTGCTCTAATTCGCCGGCTTAGCACTCGGAAATCCGATGATCTGCAGGGTCAAATTGCAGGTCAGGAAACTTAGATCAAATTTCACAAGTACAATTTTGAATTTTCAATAACAAAACAGAGAGTTTAGGGGAAATTTTAGTAATTTGAACTTGATGCAATATTGTTTTTCCTTTTCATGAAAAATCTAACAGGTTATATAACTCGTAAATTTATGTGAATCCGCTATTTATCCATCCATATCATATATGAAATAGAAAGTTGATATATATTTCTTATAAAAACACAGGCAAGGAAGTGAGTGATTCTGCATTCACTTTACCACAGACGTTTGCTTGTTATAATCTTATTGATACTAAAGCTTTCACAAAGCTAGCTTACCCATAAGTGGCAACAGATGGGGAACAATGCCAGGAAAGACAGTCGAGAAATCTGTTGCTTCCGTCGCAAAATTGCAAAATGCGCCAGCGCAGAGAATTCCATGGGGATGATAACCAAAAATATAATTCTTCTCTGGATTTAGTTCAGCTGTCTTGACCAGCTTGATCGGGAAATAATCCCGAAAATACTTCCAAAGTCGCAAACGACGAACAAATTCCGCACGACGTCCACCGTGACTTGGAGTTCCCGAATCAAAGATGTAAGCCCAGGCCAGATAAAATAATGCGAGTGGATAATACGAAGTGAAAAATAAGCCTATGATGATACATGTACCCAAAAGAGCTCCGAGATAAAATGAATAATAAAAGAGAACTACCGCTGTAGTCTCAATACGTCGATGAAGTGGTATACGCAAAGGAGCGAATTCAATCCAAGCCATGGTCGTTCAAGGGCAGTTCATATTATGGGTAGTTGTATTATTGTGGATATATGATATGAATGTCTCTAGCTCCTCTCGGCGGGTTGCTATATCATGTGATTCATGATGACAGGATAAGACGTGCCGTGTCTGACAAATTTCGAAATATATGCTGCTGAAATACGGTAAGCTGTAAAACATGGAATCTGGAATCCTGGAATCTTGGAATCCTAGAATCACTCATAAACCGACGGCATTATTTAGATGCGCGCACAGCGTTTATATTATTATGAATTGGCATCAAGATGGAGATATCAAATTCTGCAACGTATAGTATATACCGATAATATATTACCAAGGTCTGCTTCTGCTGTGCGCGCATCTAAATAATGTCGTCGGTTTATGAATAGAGTTAAAATCGGGTGCGTAGCAAGATATGACCATTGCAATCAGGAAAACCTCAATTATCAATTAGATGCACTAAAACACCTCGTATTCCGTAAAAAAAATAGCACACTTGCGAACAATTGCCGTGTTCATATAGTCTATATTCAACGAATTAAGGTTATATAGTACGTGGTTAATGAGGCTCATAGTCTTGCCGCTATGTGAGTGAGTTATATAGCACGTGGTTTTTCAACTGGCAATGTTGTAGCGGCAGTGCGTTAATCTAGCGCTTTTTCGGCGAAATTCAAACATACAATGCACCCATGCATACATGAAATCGATCATCAATAATATAGAACTTATGTTTGCGATGTTACTCTGAGTGCATATCCACACCGGGCGAGCTTGAAAAATATGCCCGGCCACGGTGGGATTCGAACCTACGACCTTTGGAATATGCACTCAGAGTAACATCGCAACATATTATTCACCTGAGTACGCAACACCAACACAGAAAAAAATTAATATAGAACTTGATTACTAGTGTAGAGGAGGAGTCAAAGTGGCTTATTGTCTTATAACATATATGAACTCGGCAATTGTTCGCAAGTGTGGTATTTTTTGACGGAATACGAGGTGTTATAGTGCATCTAATTAATTGAGTTTTTCCTGATTGCAACAGGGACCGCGGGTATTTTTTGTTTAGGGTGGCTAGCGAACGCCGAAGGCGCGAGTCTTCTGGGGGGGTTCGGGGGGCATGCTCCCCCGGGAAATTTTGAAATCTGAGGCCTCTCTGAGCTCCAGAAATGCAATAAAACCTGCTAGTTTGTCTTAAAAAGTTTCTTGAACGACTCTTAAGCAAGCCATTATATAAGGGTAAAATTTATTCGCTTAGTAAATTTTCCTTGAATAGATTTTTTTCTTCGAACTTTAATGCCTTATTTAAGTGTAATTTAAATTGCATTTTCCATACTTATCGTCTCTACCTTTCTTAGAAATGTTTTTTTCTGGAAAGTGTTCAATAATAAAGGAATACCGAATGGTTTTCCGTGCAGGAGTGGGTGATTCATGCACGAGGGATGTTGCGAGCCTTCGGAAAGCGTAAAAATACTCGAGCCGCAGGCGAGTGTATTTTTACATTTTCCGAATGTCGAGCAACATCCCAAGTGCATGGATCACGCTATCCTGCTTGGAAAACCATTTGGTAATTGTTTTATAAAATAACTGCAGCGAAACTATGACATTTTGAAAATTCCGCGAAGGCATTTTAATTCCTAGTGCTGGATAGCCTGATCCTGCAAATTGACCAATCAAATTTGACCAATCAAATTGCGTGTTTCACTGTGTTATTATATAACCTGCATTCTTTTCGTGAGAATTTTGTTGGGAGATAATTTAGGTTCCAAAGGCAAAGAATAATCAATCACAAGCAAACAGTAAGTTAGAACGACGCTTAGCAGTTTTAACGCCAACATTTTGTTTGGAACCGAAGCGAAACACACGTATTCACTGTGTCTGAAGTGATATGGAGTTTCAACCGTTATTTGAAACCGAGTGTGACACCTTGGATAATGTTAGGCTCCGAATTTTAAATAAAGTGGTCAAATGCGACTAACAACTCTTGACATTATATTGCACAGCGTCATGAAGGTTGAGACCTGTTGTTTGTAAAAGCTATATGTTTCGCTGATTGGAAATGGAATTGGAATTCTGAAACACGCAAATCAGACATTTAATATTTTTCTGGACTACGCAAAGAAAAGTGCTATCTGCGCTATATTAAAATCAGATATGTATGAAAAATTATTGGGGGGGGGGGGCTAAAGCCCCTCAGCCACCCCCCCTGCTCCGCGGTCCCTGTGCAATGATATATATATAATGTAATTTAGTTGCCTCCCGCCTGGTCACTGATCTTGCTACGCACTCATAAACCGACTGCATTATTTAGATGCGCACACAGCGTTTATATTATTATGTATTGACATCAAGATGGAGATATTAAATTCTGCAACGTATATAGTATATACTGATAATATATTACCAAGGTTTGCTTCTGTAGCTAAGTATTAAATTATCGCATGCAGAACAATATGTTGCATAAGTATAATAATAATATCTTGATAATAACATATTCTGCGGTTATATGATAAGATTCCAGGATTCCAAGATTCCAAGATTCCAAAATTCCAGGATTCCAAGATTCCAGGATTCCAAGATTCCAGATTCCAGATTCCATGTTTTACAGCTTACCGCTGAAATACGTCTAATGTGGGCGTGTGGGACGACATGCATTTGTTTTTTTGTTTACCTTGTTTACTAGTAATTTCTGTTCGTGTTCGAAACTATTTCCGATTTTTTGTTGAGTAAAATTGTTTATTATTTCCACTCCGCAAAATTTCTTCCAAACACAAATTACACACATTATGTCAAATGTTTTTGATCCTCCCGTATATGAAGTCCCATGTTTTGAGATTGACCAAGCTATATCGAAATCTTGTTTGTTTTTAATTATATATTGCCGAATATATTTCGAAAGTTCGATATCATTTGCAACCTCTTTTTCAGGCTCTCTCCTCTACCGCTTCTGCTTCACTGATTTATACGAGTTCTTAATACTGATCTGTTTTAAGGTGGCTCCCTACATCTATTCTTGTTTACGCAATAATTCCGTAAAACAGCCTTATTCGTGCAGAACGCCAATTCTTTTCGACTTGGTGGCAATATTGGTCACCTAAGGAATATTCCGAACTAGATTTCGACAACGTCAGTGTTTCCATGGCAGCATGACGACAGCATAAAGCCTTCCAATTTAACCACGATGTAGCCTCCTCCGCAGGCATCGCCTTTCGATTATCGGGCAAAATTTCTTGCAGGCAAAAAAATTAATAGCGGCGATACCTGCCAAAACCCGAAGACTTTGGACCAGCTATGTAACCCTTGTGGACCGACTATGTTATCCCCACCCCCACGGGATTAATTTGTTCATATCAAAACTATTGCAAAATGTCAAAAGCTGTGTTTCCCCTACTCCCATAGGATGATACGATCTTTTTATATTCAGACACAATTCGAAAAAATATCGATCGAGAATATCATTTTTATGTTGCAAATTGTTACAAATATGAATGAAACATTGATTATTTTGCACTTACAACGAATGGGCCGCAATTTAACGAAATCCAGATGGTCAAACCACGCCGAAACTATGTAAATCGTATCGATCGACGAAGTGTGAATGGAATTTAGGCCAATGAAAATTGATATCATGTTTCTCGTCCACAATTTTCAAAAATTTGGAGCGGGATTTTTTCATTTTTCATTTTTCATTAGTTTTTTTTGTATTTGAATTCTGCTTGTCGATAATTTCCTTGACCCAGTAGAAAACCCCATAAAAATCTGAAGCATTAAAAATTGGTGTATAATTCATTTTAATTTAATACGTCCTACACTACAGTCTACAGACTACAGTATATTTCTACACATACCAGGGCTGACATGAAAAATAGAGGCAATTTGGCGAGTAATATCTTTAGAAAGATACAATTTGAGTTGCGCTTGCGGAATGCAGCAATAAGACTTTGATCTGGAGATGAATTTGGTGTTTTTAAGCCTATTTTTCAAAAATAATGAATAATCGGAAAAATTTTCGTGCGGCTGATCAATCCCATACGGGCGGGGACGAGAAACATGATATCAATTTTCATTGGCCTTATAAGAATTTTTGCAACCGTTCAATTTTTTATTATATTTGGTCTGTATCCTACATGCATATAACATCAAATATTAATGCAGATTTTATACAGCAGATTTCATACAGCATTTCAACACAGCAGATTTCATAAATATTAGATTACACTGATATCGAAGGAACTAGACTCAGTTCCGAAATATCGCTTACTCGAACCGTCCTGACCGCGTAGCTCAGTTGAAAGAGCATTGGGCTAGTATTCCAAAGGTCGTAGGTTCGAATCCCGCCGTGGCCAGGCATATTTTTCAAGCCTGCCCGGTGTGGATATACACTCAGAGTAACATCACGCAAACATCAAATATTAATACTCTTGCGAAACGGCATACTCTAGAAGGCAGATGGAGTGGTAAATGTCAAAATTTCAACTGGATAATGGATGCTCTTGCCTCTTGGAATTGTCGATTACTGTTATATAATTTAGTGGACATGATATTGAAACTGGTTTGTCTACACTGACAATTTTGAGATCTTTCAGCAAAGAACAAACTTCGAATTTACAATCCCATGTGTTTTTACGCTGTACATATGTTACTCGTTAGCGAGAAATATCTCACGAATTTGTTGAGTACATGTACGGCATGTAAACTATGTAAACTGCTTTATCAAACATAGTTAATCAAACAAAGTTATACAATTTATATTGTTGCTGTATTATGTTAGATGTTATGCTCAAGATTATTCTACTGCATTACTGCATCTGCCATCCAGCTGACTAAAATTTTAGACAGCCATGTAAATTTGGATTTCACTTGAAAATTGACAAAAAATATGTCTTTACGCCACCAAAAGAGATTCACTTCCATGTAAATAATACAGGGATCGATCCAGCATGATCGGGTGGGGGGCTGCTCTCCCCGGCTCTGGTGCAGAGTTGTCTCGGTCATGTGTGCCGCTCACCAATCAACATACTGTAATTGAATTGTAATTGTTGTTCACAACTTCACACTTTGCTTATCATCATATTATTGCTCAAATTACTGTATCTCATTTTGTCTCTATTATTTTTTGCTTTATCATGAAAAAAGCACCCCCTCCTGTCCTGTCAGGGCTTGGAGGGTGCACCCCCCCCCCCCTCTAGTAAATCTGCAACTTGCAATGCAATTTCTGATAAAAGGCGATGGGATTTAAAAATAAGTCACAGGGAAATTGTGAGCATGAACCACATTATTTTTTTCCAATTTCTTTAATTTTTCATCCATTAAAAACATGTTATACTAAAGAAGGTGTCAGCAGAACAGAATGCTGGCCATGTTCAATTATGTCACTATTTTATCTGGCAGGTTATGACATGCTTGATCAATGTTGTCATTGACAATGGTTGCTTGTCCACGTGTTGTAGCCTTGATGCTGCTAACTGTACAATGTAAACCTTGCTGGTTCACACTTTCTAGGATGCAGCACCTTAGTCTCCATCTCAGACATGCAAAATAGCACATAGTTTCTTGCATAGAAACCCTGAAATTCAACATGTTCATTTGGATTAAAAAATTATGTTATCACAATCATCTACCACGTTATTGTTTAACTGCTGGATTGTACAATGCAATTTACACCATGCAGGTACTGGACACTAGTGCACACATGAAACAAGACATAGTATAGTATGGTATAGTATAGTATAGTAAGTGAATTAATATAGTAAGTGAACCCAGCTAATTTTAGATTTCAGACAGTGGCGTCACCTTGGATGTTGCTTCACTGATTGGCATACTCGGCCAATCTGACAACCAAACACCAGACCAAGGCTTTTTCACTCAAATCAATCTGGCTCTTGCTTTGGTTTCTATTAACACTGGGTCCACAATTATCATGCTGAAATATATTTTATCTTGTTACATTTCTACACATCCTATGTAGGGCAATTTTGTCCTGCTTCTAACAATCATGAACTAACTGTACATGATAATTGTACTATTTTAAATAATTATGCCAGCCAGACATTAACAATTATTTAAAACACAAAACAACTAATTATTGATCCAAAAAATATTATATGAAATTAAATGCATTTCATTGTGATATTAACACAAAGTCTACCTTTATAGTGCTTAAAAGATTACAACAATATTTCTGTTTCCATCTACAGTTTATACAAAAATATATGTCAACCTCGATGTTTTCCATCTACAGATATACAAAAATATATGTCAACTGACAACATGTAAATTATTTGATGACAATTTTATTTTCCGGGTTAAGATTCTTTCAATAGTCCACAAAAGCTGTATTCTTAATCGTTTAGCCGCCTTTAGCGACCGTATTAATATAAATTCACTAATTTTCATGATTCTTCCCTCCACATTAGCAGAAATATGGGACAAGATGGAGACGGACATGCGCACATTGCCCCAATATGGCGACTAAATATTACTATAAACTATACAGGGATTTACAAAAATGTCAAATTTTAACCTACTTTGTTTAGATATCTCATGGTTGCGGACTTCGATAATAACAACAGCACGAACAAGCAGTATTTGTAAACCAAAATCGTTAGCATTTCTACACGTCTAAGTGGTTCCCGTGATCGGTGTATTTTCACTAGAAATTCGAAGTATTTGATAGTGTAATCTATAGTAATCTTGCCATACATGAGGTAAAACTCCGCCGAATAGACCAACATTCTTTCGCGCGATGTAAACTGCGGACTTCGCGATGTATTTAGCGATGTTCAAACTGTAAGTATAGCTTAACATATCCCAGGTTATTCTGCGCCAAACCGGTTCCAAAATCGTTTAAAACTTTGCCTTTTTATGAGTCTTGCTTATCGCCATTAGGTTATATTTATAGTCGAAAACGACAAGTCTAAATACAAATTTAGGCTCCTTCGAGCAGCCATGTTTCTTGTCTACTAGCAAAGCTTGTACCCAGTCCCTCACTTAAGAAAAACAGAGAGATTTGCGAGATTTTGTAGCTCGATTTCGTGTTGATATAGCAATTTGCGTGCGGACATTTCGCGGGTTATTTAAAATCTCTTTCGCGGTTAAGTCAAAATGTCGGAAGTGCTCGAAGAATACAGCAAAAGAAAGTTAGATTGGAAATTGAAAGTAAGTTCTGAAGCTCCTCTTACTTATGTTAGGCAACAAGTGGACTTATTTAACAAGATTCTCTTTTGTGTGGAGATTCCATGGCCACTGCTTAATGTATGGAAAAATATTCGCGAAACAACTTCCTGTGAAAATGTAAATTATGTTGACTTATTTAATTTAACTGTGCCAGACAAATGGTTTGCTTTAAAACCCGGTAACCAACGTATCGAAGAACTACTTCGTAAGGAATGGCACACGTCCTTTGCCTTTGGCAGTTCGAGTCCCCATTTTGATTTTTCAAGCGATTAGCCGCTGCCTACAAACGCGGGCGCAAAATGTCCCATATTTCTGGTAATGACGCAATCCGCCATCTTGGATGACAAATCCTACCCACGTGCATACCCTAGAGACGAAATCGCTGCGCAAGCAAGATGCGCAGAACGGCTCAACCATGTCGGGTTTTGGCAGGCATCTCACCGACTTTCTGAAGTACGTGAACTACGAGATGCCTGTGGAGGAGGCTAACGTTAATTTCACGATGGTCAGATTTGCTCAATTTCCTCCCACTTGGGATTTAGTGGTGTCGTATTTCAAGCAGCAAGATTTAGCTATAGCGGGATAAATAAATTTCATGCAAGTTCGCGCATTATTTTGAATATATTATGCACGTCTTCTCGGACATAGTTTCCCATTATTACATTGCGTCACCCCTCTTTTCGAAAGTTATAATAGGGGTAGTGTCCCTTGGGTAGTATTTTGCGCTTTGTAGATGCCCAAAGTTACCCCACTTTTTGGCCAAAGTTGGGTTTATACGGCCTCTGTGTATACCCCAAGTCTTTGTCCTTGTTATTTTTGAATGCACAGTACCATAAAACTGATTTTAAATTTAGCACATTTTCCTATATTGTGTGCGTTTTTGTGTAAAATCACGAAATGTGCCTCAAGGTACCCTCCGCAAGGATACATTTGCTATTTGCGACGCAGTGATGTTGTTATTAAACCAGAAATCTCTAAACTTAAAATAAAGTTTATCTTCATGGCTTCAACCTATGGTGTCGAAACCGATCAGAAATTGCGCGTACTTGCCGTGTAAATATGGGTTTTGATTTGCACTTTTGACTCATTTGCCATCTTGAATTGTTTTCTTGTTGAGATTTCATATCTCAATTGCGTTCGAAATGTTTGGTATTTTAAAGAAGGGGTATTGTGTGGAGGAGGTTTATAATGCAACGAATACAACCAGCATGGGATAATTATGGTAAATGAGACCAGAAATTGTGCATCGAACTCGTTTATTTAAAGGCTTTAGGCTTTAAGTATACCTTTTCTTCAGACATTGACGGCGTCTCAAATGTCTACATATTTGTAATAAACCTATAAAGGATTATTGCGTCTGTCTGTCTTAAGAGTTATATAGTCGAATAATTCAGCATGATTTGTCTCACGTTCTCTTATAAGTTGACTAATATTGCATTAAAAGCGGTAAAAGTTGGCATGCTAACCAAGATTTCAGTGTATTTGTTTGCTAATAAAAAAAGATGATGAGACAAACAGAGATAATTATAGACCATTATCCATGCTGTGCACTCCAAGCAAATTAATGGAGAAGGAAGTACACAAAACCTTAGTTAACCATATTGATATCAATCCTGGTTTACTAAATCCAAATCAGTGGGCATACAGGAAAAATAGTTCAACGGAAGCACTGTTGTTACATAGGACAGAGATATGGAGGAAAGCAGTCGACAGCAATAGAGTGGTGGGAGTTGTCTTCATCGACTTTAATTAAGAAGTCTTTTGACTCTGTCCCTTATCACCAACTACTGCTAAAGTTACAGCGGGCAGGCAACTCTGGAAATTTGTTGTTGTGGATCCGAAACTACCTCTGTAACCGACGCCAATTCACTAAAATAGGACTGTGCGATTCTGAAAGAGAGGGTGTTGACTATGGGGTGCCACAAGGATCAGTCCTGGGGCCCCTATTATTCGCACTCTTTTGCGATGATCTTCCGGACTGTGCACGGCACGATGATGAAGAATTAGAAATGTTCGCTGATGATACGACCTTGACTAGTATAGGCGAAACAGTTGACCAAGTGATCCTCAAACTAAATGAGACATTAGGCCTTGTGAGTGAATGGTGTTACAAAAACGGAATGACGGTCCATCCAGCCAAAACAGAAGCCATGCTCATTAAACGCGGAACTTTCGTAGGTCCTCTACCACCAGTACAGTTAAATGGTAGTTTAGTGAAGTGGGTAAATAAGTCAAAATCTCTAGGAGTGACTTTGGACAATAAGCTGAAATGGAATGGACACACAGAAAATGTCAAACTTGCATTCGTCAGGAAATTAAATTTGTTAAAATCAATGGGTTTCCTTCCAAAACATATGCTGGAAGATTTTTACTGGAAATTAATCTTTCCATCCATAACATACTGCATTCTTGTTTGGGGAAACTGTGGTAAAACACATTTCAAAGCTTTGGAAAGGTTGCATACAAGAGCCGCACGTATAATCTACAGGTTGAATTGGGACATACCAAGCCAAGACGTGATACATAAAACTGGCTGGAAAACACTGAGCAGTACGTATAAGCAAAGAGTATTAAGCACTGTCCACAAATGTTGTTACGGTCAGGCACCAGACCAACTCTGTCAGAATATAATTACAAAGAAAGATAACAATTTAAGAGGATCAGAAAAGTTGGTTATTCCAAGACCAGAAACCAACTTCCTGCATAAGTCAGTAACATTTAGGGGAGCAGTATTGTGGAACAAACTACCGACCAATCTTAAGAACGAGAAACGACATAATAATTTTAAAATGTTGATACGGCAACAAGATCTTGAGGCAATGGATTTTACCTCCTACACAAACAATAATGATCTGAACTATATCTATTTTTAAACTTTTCTAGTCATATTCTTACTATATATTCTTACTATTATTATTCTTACGATATTTAATTTATATATAAACTATATATACTAACATAGCATATGTAAATAGATTTTACTATACTGGTAAACACACGACCACATCAGCAATTTGCTGCCTATTTTTATATCGTGTTTAAATAAATGTTTTTGAATTGAATTGAATTGAATTATTATATAAATGTTGCTATATCTCAAACGCTATTTGCCAAATATCATATGACACGCAATTTTAATTCCACGGCAAAACAGCTGTTGCGCAAATAACAAACGCGAGATTACATATATATGGCAGTATTACAGTTTAGTAATATTGCATTAAAAATAGTAAAAGTTGGTGTGCTAACCAAGATTTCAGTGTATTTGTTTGCTAATGTTGCTATATCTCAAACGCTATTTGCCTATTAAAAATATCATATGACACGCAATTTTAATTCCACGGCAAACTGCTGTTGCAGTGTTGCGCAAATAACAAACGGGAGATTAAATATATGACAGTATTACAGTTTAGGTATCTTTTAAATTGCTAATAGATCACACGGAAACTTTTTACAATCGTTATATTCAAAAGACTAGCGTGCACATATTTGTGTTTATTCAAGTGTTATTCATGAATTTGCTATTTACATGGGAAGCGACGAAATATGACACGGTATTTTTCGAGTATACCGTGAAACTCCACTGACAAAATGAGCCCGCACAAGTGGGAGAAAATTTGCGCATTCTGACCATCTATTTATTTATTTAACAACTTTATTGGTGCCATAAATTACTTTAAAATAATTAGTACAATATCAACTGGCCCAAAAGGGAAGGTGCGAACGAGGCTATATAGAAGTCCCATGCGAGGCACCTCCCTTCTCTAATAAGTAATAACAGATATTTGTGTATATATATTCACACATATATACATACACATACATATACATACACACATACATATATACATACGCACTCTGCCAAATGTTTTTGTAAACAACGAAACCTAATTCTATATATATATATATATATATATATATATATATATATATATATATATATATATATATATATATATATATATATACATATATATATATATATATATATAGTACAATCTGCAGACATGCATGTTTCGGCGTTCAACGCCTCGTCAGTGCAGCTTGGTACACGTCTAGATACGTGAGACACTCGTATTAATACCCCATGAACTTGCTCTCACCAAGGCATATATGGTACAACACGGTGACTCAACGCATCCAGACATGCGCAGAGCGTAATGGAGCCAGAGTGCTCGAACGACCACAAGGGAAGTGAGCTTTGCATTATCGCTAATAGACATCCATTATCGCTAATAGACATCCTATATATATATATATATATATATATAGATATTTATATATATATATATATATATATATATATATATATATATATATATATATATATATATATATATATATATATATATATATATATAAACGGGTTGTTTTTCGTTGAAAGACTAAAAAGAGTGCTCAATACTACTGATAAACAGTACAGTAGAGCTATGTAATTAACGTTACAAATATCTTAAAATAACATTTTTTTTCGCTACTCTGAGTTTCACGATCAAAATCACGAAATCAAACAAACTAATTAAACGGACATAAATCGCCTGAAGATCGATCAGACAAGATCGTGAAACTCAGAGTAGCGAAAAAAAATGTTATTTTAAGATATTTGTAACGTTAATTATATATATATATATATATATATATATATAGAATTAGGTTTCGTTGTTTACAAAAACATTTGGCAGAGTGCTCAATGGATATCCAGAGCATAATTAAATAAGTGCAACGACTCAACAAATTCCACTAGGCATCTTTATTACTATTAGTTTCGTACCACAAGATGTGGCACTCATCAGATAAATTAGCCTTAAGGCTAATTTATCTGATGAGTGCCACATCTTGTGTACGAAACTAATAGTAATAAAGATGCCTAGTGGAATTTGTTGAGTCGTTTCACTTATTATATATATATATATATATATATATATATATATATATATATATATATATATATATATATATATATATATATATATATATATATATATATATATATATATATATATATATATATATATATATATATATATATATATATATATTAAGATGAAAATGTTCTAGAGTGTGTATTATATAATTTCCATACCCAGCGCAAGCAGAAAGATGTTGTCTGCCGCGGCTGGGTCTTGAACCCGCGACCTTCGAATTACTAGATCGACGCTCTACCAACTGAGCTACACGGTCAGACGGATTTAAGACTGGAAATTATGAAATATATACAGAATGTCATAAACATACTCGTTACACTGGCCTGTAGGCCAAGTGTCTTAAATCCCTCTTTTTCTGTTTTCGACGAGAAATGGAGTTTGCCTTAAGCATAGATATCTCATATACACTAGATAGCGCATCCCACCCTGTAGGCAGGCGAAAATTGAAGCCTGATCGCAGTCGCAGTTTACGCGCGGCGGCCATATTGGTCGTTCCCACGGAGCGTGATAATTTGTATATTTTGTATTGCGGAAATGGACAAAGTTGACAATAAATCCTCTTTTATGCAGTCAATTTTGGTTTTTCAAGTGTGCAACTTGTTGTAAATGATGCCAGATCGTTGCAGCTTCATATTGTGAATAACGGGTAGGCAGAATTTTATTTTAAAATTTTAAAATTTTATTTCGAAAATATCAATATTTGTCGACCCGTATGAAGGGCGTATGAAGGGCCCATAGGACAAACCTTATGGACAAACCATCATTGTTGATGTATATATAAATATAGTTCCACCAATTCCAAATAAAACATTTTGAGCCATCGCCATTGCTTCATGGCAAAATTGTGAATGTATTTGCATATTCTTTTGTAAAAGACACCGACACTGAAAAACATATTTTAGTCACAGTTTATCAATGGCAAAAATAGACTTAAAATCTTAAATAGTCAATATATAAAACATTGACACCAAAAATGGTTCTTACTCCTTACTATTTGTATATTTATTACATACATACATGCAACATATCATATATTATTTTATAGTTCCATGGAATCACATCAAGATTAAAATGTGTTAG